GCGGCCTCCTCTGCCCTCCCTCCCCCTCTCCTCCTCCTTCCCCTCCTCCTCCTCCTCCTCCTCCTCCTTCTCCTCCTCCTCCTCCTTCCGCTCCTCCTCCTCTCCTCCTGCCTCCTCCTCCTCCTCCTCCTCCTTCTCCTCCTCCTCCTCCTCCTCCTCCTCCTTCCGCTGCCATTTTGGCTCAAGATGTCCTCCTCTGAGGCTGTCCAGCCTCCAGGCGAAAAGGATACCGCTAGTCCGAAGCCAGTTTTCGCCACGCGCTCAGCCATTTTGCCCTCGGCGCGCGCGGCCCGCGGTCCATGCCTGCCAAGGGCGAAGGAAAGAGGAAAAAAAAGAAACTACCTGGGCGAGCTAGTGCTGATGCTCCTGCTCGAGCTGATGACGAGGATGCTGCTCAGGCAGAGGAGCGCTCGAGGTCCAGTCGCAACAACTCCGACGCCGATGACGAAGATGACATGGACCCTGATGGACTGGACGAACATATCAAGGGCCTCATCGACGGCCACCTGCTCAGGAAGTTCCAGTGTTTCAAAGAGGAGCTCACTGGCATGGTCACTGCCTCCGCCAGCTCAGCAGCTGAGCAAGCGGTCGGCCCCGTCATGGCCGCGCTCAAAGCGGTGGAGGAGGCGGTCAAAAGCGTTCCCAGCAACTGCCAGCAGAAGGTCGAGGCTTCTCTCTGCCCCGAGTTCGATTTCTTGATACGACGATTTCAAGCGCAACTGGACAGTCTCAATGCTCGCGTCAGCACGATCGACTCCCGCGTCGAGAAGCTCAGCGAAGAGGTCGCCCCCATGCGGGTTGCGATGCACAAGATGCGAAAAGAATTGGCCCTCGCTAGCAATGCACCCCCTTCTGCCCAAGCCGCCAAGCGCTGGCTTTCAGCGCGAAGTGGACGCTACGCTGCTCAAGATTGTTGCCTCCACCATGGTCAAGAGTGCGGATGTCATCGCCTCCATCACCCCGTGGCTGGTCAAAGCAAAAATCGAAGGATGGGAGGTGGTTGGAGAAGAACAAGATCGACTCTTTATTCTTCAGCTTACTGGTGCCACTGCCATCGCTTGTCGACGCGTCGTGCGGGCTCTGGGCGCACTTTGTCTTCCTGGCAAGGGGCAGCGGATGCGCTTCCCTGTTCCTGCCGCCTCTGGCGGCTCTACCATGCTGCGCACCGGCCCTGACAAGAGCCCGATCCAACCAAGTGCGATTGGAACGTCGCCGCCTTGGCTACGCGCGGCCGGACCAGGGACGAGCTCCAGCGCATCATCGACCCCGTCATTGCACCAACGCGGCTCCAGAGTGGTCTATTCAGCACGTTTGATGTCATCTTCCGATCTTCCGTTGAGGGCGGCGCCGCACCGCAATCAGAGCAGTTGGTCTTCTCAACTTGGAATGCGCGTGCGCTTTTGCGGTGGAGGGGCGTTCAAGCTGTGGCCAAAGCTAGCTACTTGCAGACAGCAGATTGATGCGATTTTCGCGATTCACGAGGTGCACCTGGCGTCGGCGGAGCTGAAGTTCTTCATGGGCAGGACGGCCCCATCATCTACAGTGTTTGGGTCTTTCGAAGATGACTGGGCAGGGCGCTCGCGCGGAGGTGCGGCTACGGTGATACCTTTGGCAGACCCGGCTACCGCAACGGCGACCCCCACGATTCTCTCCCCTGGCCGCGCGCTACGGGTTGTTCTGCGGTGTGATCATGCTGAAATTCGACATTGCAACATCCATAACCATGGCTTCGCTGAAGCTCACGTGCGCTCTGTTCTTGCCGAGATGCAGCAAGACTTAGAGTGGGCAACCTCGTCACCAGCATTTCGATTAGTTGTTGTCTGCGGGGACTTCAACTTCGCATTGCTCGACCCGCTGCTGTTGGCCAAGCCTGAGATGGCGAGGGATACAACAAAGGTCACCAACATCTCCAGGACGCATGTGAAGCTTTGGATGGACACACTCCCGGGATTCGCCGACATCGCAGCTGAGGACCCCGCCCGCCATTGCAGGGACACACAGACAGTCGCGCAGATCGATCGAGTATAGGTTTCTGAACTTGGATGGCTAGCTTGTCAAATCCAGCACTCGGTGCCGGTAGTCTCTACGCCCGGAGCATCATCCGAGCGCGGCATCTCCGATCGCGCAGCTGTGCGCATGGTACTTCGTCCACGGCATGGTCAGCGGGCTTATCGCGGGACATTGCCGACAGCGATCTACAAGCACGAAAGCAATCGTCAGCGCCTCAATCGACTTCTGGAACAAGGGGCCACGTCGTTCTCGTCGCTCTCTCCGCCACGACAGCTGGAAAGATGCAAAGAGCTGATGGGCGCAGCAGCGTTCGACACCCTGAACCAAGTTCTAGTCGCTGACCCCGACATCATGGACGCGCAGCGCATCTTTGCGAGGCCGCTGGCTCGTGCGGTTTGGCGACAAGATGCTCGCCTGGCTCGCGCGGCGTGCATTTCTTCGGAAACTGCGAGAGCGCGCGTCGAGACCGACGGTCGCGAGGTTTGTCTTTCACAGCCGGCTATATTTAAGGCCTGGGTCGACTCTGTCCAGCGCGCCGCGGCTGTTCGCGACCTGGATGAGCTTCGCCACGACGCTCTACACGCAGGAGGGCGAGCGAAGCCTTCCATTGGCATCATCTCGGCCAAGACTCGGAAATCGAAGCTATGGGCACCTTTTGGGAAGAGGCTCTCGTTTCGAGCTAGCAAGGTTGGAGAAGTCTGTTGCGCCGAGCCCATTCAGGAGCTGCGCGCGCTGGCCGAATACTGGGCCCCCGTGTCCGCCAAGCCAGTCGAGTTATCCACGGAGCACGAAGGCCGATGCTCTGCAGTTCGTCAAGCCATGCGATTTTCCACCTGCAACCCACCATCGCGAGAGATTTGTGGGAACGCGTTGCAGAAGTTCCCCCCTTCGCTCTCTGCTCCTGGAGTCGACGGGCCCCCCTTCGCCGCGCGGGCGGCCCACCCTGATGGCGGGGGGGTTCTATGGAATGCATGCGTCCGGCAATTAGATTGCCAGCAGCTCTCCCCCTCGTCGGGGGCCACGCTGCAGGCTTCTCCCCCCGAGGGCTGTCTCGCAGATGGTGAGGAAGGCAAGGGGGTCGCGCGGTCGCCCGACGCGGTCAGGGCGCTCGGCCCCAGGAAATCAGACGTCAAGATCATATCTACGACGTTCAACGCGGCGCTTTCCCCGATCATCCAGCAAGTCACGTCGTCGGCTCAAAAGGGATTCGCTGCTGGCCGCCAGGTTACTTCGAACATCCTGGAGCTCGATTTGATCGCCAGGATCGGCTCCTTGCTTCCCGACGCGCTGGACAAGAACCCGCTGCTGGTTGCGCTAGACTTCGGCCGGGCGTTTCCCGACCTCAGCCAGGAATTCCTGTTCGCGGTACTAGAGGCCCTGCACTTGCCGAGTGGGATATTGGTCGCCACTCGCGGTCTATATGGTGTCGTCACTGCTGTCGGCCGCGCCGCTGGCGTCACCATGGAGATGTTTCGCAGCAGCTGCCTCGCCATTCTTGGAAGACCTGAGGATCGGCTCGGAGGGTTAAGAACGAGGCGTCTTTCGCGCCTGTGCGGACGGCATTGGCGGGGTGCTGTTCCACATGATCGACCTTCGTTTCTTGGCTCGGGTCATGGCTGCGGCGGAGAAGCTGGCCAACATCAAGCTCGAACCGCGCAGGTGCGCGCTGGTTCCGGTGGCCAACGTCTTCTCGGAGGAGTTGCGAGGCAAGATCAGCTCATTCCTTGCGACGCATGTCCCATCGTGGCAGCTAATCAAGATCGAGGAGAAGTCGCTATATCTTGGTGCCTGGATTGGCCCTGCGACCTCTGCTCTTCAATCGTGGACGGCTCCGTGGACCAAGTACAAAAGTCGAGTTTGGGCACTCGCGGCGTCATCGGCCCCGCAGTCACTCAATGCGCTGAACTACATCATCAGAGCTCTCCTGACCGTGAGCTATATCGCGCAATTCTTGCCGCTGCCCAAGACCATGCTACAGTTCGACAATCATGTGCTCGTCCGTCTGCTTCGCTTTCCTGGTGGTGCGCTTCGCTATGTCGATCTCTTTTGCCTGGACCAGTGGGGCGGCCCCAAATTGAGATCGCTCGCAGCTTCGACAAATGCGGCGCTTGTGCGCTCTGGTCTGGCGACGCATCCTGAACATCGGCAGTGCCTTCAGAAATCCAGGTCCTTCTCAGAACGGTGGATCAGGCATCGCCGTCTGGTCGACCTCACTATGCAGCTCTCGCCATCGTTTTCGGTGTTGCCATCGTTCGCGGAGATTATAGAAGCTGCGTGCCCGCCGACCTGTTCCCCTATCAGCCTCCGCGGCTCGGCGTCATCTTCGCGAGCACCCAGATGCGCCGCGTGCAGTACAGAAGATCGCCGATTCCGCCAACTTGTCGGCCTTCCTTCCAGCCGTTTTGCCACGAGATAGGCAACGCATAGTCGCCCTTGGTCACAATAGCGGTGAAGCGTTGGTCCAAGTGGTTCCCCGAGTTGCAGGGCGCTCTCTTGTCTGTCAACTGGGCTGCACTCCAGAACAAGCCTACGACCTACGCCACGGCATGGGCTACTACCATCTTGCGTGGTATGCTAGGTGGATGGTTCACGTCGTCGCGCATCACGACAGTGGCTGGACAACGCGGGTGTATCTTTGGATGCGATGGTTATGCTGATGCAAGTGGACACTATTTGCAGTGTCGGGGCCGGCATGGGGGACCGCCATGGCGAACTCTGGCGGGCGCCACCTTTTGCTCGCGGCAGTGCTCGCGCGCTGGGACCTCCTGGCCGCAGACGACAATGACTTGCTCAACCTTCAGCTAGCTACAATGGTATATCACGATGTACGGCATGCTGAACATGTTCCCCGGCCCCTGATTTCCTCTTACGGGCGGCGCGCGGCGCTCTTCGTGTCCGGGCGCTTGCCCATCCCACATCCAGTCGCCGAGCAGCTTCTAAGTCGTCTGTTGAAACCTCATCGGCGCAGCCAGTGGATGCTACGCTGATGC